AAAACATCTTTATAAAACACCATGCAGTTAAAAAAAGATGTTTAATAAAAATGTCAAATCAATAAGTTCAGCTGCAAGAAAAAACATCTTTATAAAACACCATGCAGTTAAAAAAAGATGTTTAATAAAAATGTCAATTCAAGATTTTTTTTCTCAGTAAAGATTTGTGAAGATTGAATTTGGCAATAAAAGTGTCCGAGTGCTTCAGAACTGCAGAATTAAAATTAAAAGACACAGAAATTGTCATAATTTAGTAGTCTAATCAAATTCTATAGAAAAAAAAACACATAACAGCTCATAACAAAAGTCTAGCAGAAAGAAAATTAAGAGAAACTGATTTAAATTTGACTTAAACATAAGACCTTTGATGTATAATTATCAAGCATGCTTACCTTTCAGTTCATAACTATCCATTTATTTACTAATAATGTTGCTAATTCATTTAACATTTCTAATCTTAATGTGATACTAATGGGCAGATAATTTTAATATAAATATTTACACTGTATTAAATATTGTAATTGCTTCTACTACTTTAACTTGTGAACACTGTGTGAAAAAATCAAGCTATGGTTATGTTTAGACCAAAACTTTTATCTTCCTAGTATAGATGAAAACTAAAAAGAAATTACTAACAATAGTGTTAACAACTGATGATTGAATACATTCCAATTATTACAGATTTTAGGTGTTTTGTATTAATTTAAAAGTGACTTTATCCTACAAAACTGGTTTTATTATTAATTTAGAAACTTAATTTCATTAAATAGCTAGTTTACACACATAATAATTCATATCTCACATACGAAGGCCTACTCAATCAAATTCTACTGTTTCATATGGCAGTTCTCATGGAAAAGTTAATTTCTTAGTAGTCACCTTGAAGGAAAAAATTAATTTCCCCTTGTCTGACTAACAGTTAAATAACAGGGGATTTAGAGACAACATGTTTGTACAATATATTAAGCACAATAAAAAACACATAGTTCACAAAATCAACCTAAACCTACTGAATCTGTCATTGAAATGACAACAGGAAACCGAGAATTGCAACACATTCGAAACAAAATGCTCCTTTTAGTGGTTAAAGAAGGAAATAATATTTCAAAAAGTGCTCAGGTTATTTTATATCATTAACTGTAATTTATTTACATTTTGATCCTATGAAACTATTATTAAAATTAATAATAGTCCATATGATCCTGAAAATGTGTCAATTATTTTTAAATACCAAACTAAGATCATTTTTAATATTACTATGTATAAGTTTAGATACATTTAACTTTTTTAAACAAAGCGAGCAAGTTTTGGTTAATGGTCCTAAAACTTATTCAGTAGATTTTTAAGTATGCTTTCTCATTTATGATATAATTTATCAAAATCAAATCCAAAATTTATTATAATTACATGATTAAAACTTAATATTTATTCACAGTTAATCACAAAGTGGTTTAGAATGTTTATGAACCTTCTTGTTTATAGTTAATTGCAGAGTTAGAAGAAACTACTATGTTGTAAGCCTGCTTTTTATTCTCACTGTAATTAAAACTCAAGTACAAAACATTCTAAATAATACAAATATTTCATTATATGAGTTTGTAAGTAACCAAACAATAAACATTTTTAGAAATCTGTTATGACTTTCAGCTATGGATCAACAGATGCTTATAAAGACTCACTGTGCTTATGATCAACATAGTTTCAATGTTATCTTTGAAAATAAAGTTAAATAACTCTTCTGAACAACAAAAGACTTTTCATATAATGTTGATGAGTACTGACGTTTTTGCAACTCTCGATAGCATATTGTCATTGCTTGCAGAGTAGCATCATCTGTTGGCCCTTCTTGATGAACTTCTTTCAGGGTAGACAGACTTTCATCCTGTCTTCCAAGACGTATCAATGCCAAGGCTTTCAACACCTAGCATAGCAGAACTCAACAATAAGTTCACTGTACAGACTAAATAAGTAACAGATATATTCATGATGTTAGAAAAACACATAGGTTCGAGAAATCAATTTAACACAAAAATATGATACTCTATAACCCAACCACTTTCAAAAAGTGGACCTTTCTTCTTCAGCAACAAACAGATAATCACTCAGGAATAACACACAAAGTACTTTAAAATATTACCTAGAAATGTAGTCTCAATTTCAAGATTAGTTCCCTGATAAATTATTAATATTTCTTGTGTGAAAGATAAATTTCTCTATGGTACACAGTAACTTTATATTTTCTTGGAAAATAACAGTACTCAATTAGGAAAGTTTCTCTGGTATATATATATGCTAATTCCTCCTATTAAAATAATTATTTTATAATAATCTTATATGAAATCTGTAATTCTAACCTTAAATTATATTTATTTTCCATACTGTACAATGCTTCTTTGAGTGAACTAACGACTATTATAAAAAACCCAAAATGATAAAATTTACTTAAATAGAAAACACTGCATTAATCATTGTAGTTTTTCTAATTTTGTAGTACATTGTATATATTTTGTCTTTATGTTATTTCTCATATTCCTAAACTTGCTACACAGTGGCTTCACATACAGCTTGTTTACTACAGATGTTGAGTACATTATATTAAAACTATTTTAGAGCCTCACCATGTCCAGTCATGCTCTATCTTACAATTGTGCATCTTGACAATAGCACTGTAGTGTAATTTCTATTTCAAATGCTATGTCATAAGACTTTTGTGTCCAAAGTCCCCCGCTTCTCCCCACATACTTTCCATACTTCATCTTGTGTATGAAGACGATAATTTCTCAGCACATCCACTTGCACAGAAATTTATAGGTGCTGCATCAGACAACTTGACCATTTATGTCTTTGTATGGAATAACATGAATAAACATTCCATTCTCCAGCAGTTTGAGGTATGTAACATTTTTTCAGAGAGAGAAAGATCCTATTTGATTATGTTGTGTACTGCTGTTAGGGAAATGTGCACAGTTTTTAATACTGATTCTTTGCATTCATGAATTCTCACCTGTTACATTATGCCATACTTTGCTTACTACAGCCTGTTGCAGGTTTTCTTCTGGATGGTCCTTGTGCCCCAAGTTGATCCATTGTCCTTTATTTTCCAATGTCATTAAGGGATATCCCCATCTTCGAGATTCTAAATTCTTCATCAGAATACATGTTTATGATCCAAATTTATGAATGTTTTCATTGGAAGTGACTGATTTCCTTCTGGATGGTTGTTGTGCCCCTAGTTGATCCACTGTCTTTTGTTTTCCAATGTGATTAAGAGATATCCCCATCTTGGCGATTCTACATTCTTGATCAGAATACATCTTTATGATCCAAATTTATGATTGTTTTCATTGGAATCTACAAAATTATAGCAATGTCAAATCATAGTTCTGATACACTCTGTTCCATCTTGGCTGTGGTTGTCACGTGAATTTCTGGTTCACATATTCAAAATCAATGTACTCAATACTCTGTATGGTTACAAAAAAAAACACACCTTTTTAAAATTATACATACCTTAGCGCATTGAAAATCCTTTTGTTTCTTCAGGAGCTTTTCTGCTTCCTGAAGTGCTTTTTTATTATTACCATTGTCCAGGCAGTCTATAGAAAACATCAATAATAATCAAGGTGTTAATAATGAAAGCAACAATCTGTATAAATTAATACTAAATAAGTAAGTTTACAACTGAATATATACTAAAAGCAGCCTCTGATCAAAGTATCATCTCCATGAAATAAGACATCAAACATATACACTCACCATCTTGTTTTTTTTTATCTAATGTCTTCTCTAAATAACTTTACTTGATATTCATTTGTATGTAGAAATATATATATATATATACCCCTTACCTTGATGTATGTTTCTTTTTTCTAACAAAGCTTTCAAAAATTATTATTTAAAAGTAAATCAAATACTGACAACAAAAAAGAAAACTCAATCTTCGTGTCTGTATGTTGTAATATAACACACTGCTACCATTTATTAATAATACTGATAAAGACTTGAAGTTCAAGTCAATCTGCATTTGTTTCATTTGAAAAGCATTACAACTTGTAAAATATAAGTGTTTATTTCTCAAATACTTTAAACTTGTATTTTTCAGGTAAGTGTACATATAAACACTTAAATGGTCACCTTAATACACATACTGTTGAGAAACTTTTGATTTGAGCTGTCTCTTGTCTGCCTTAAAATGTTTTGAATAAATGCAGTATGTGGTATACTTTATTTTAATAAACTTCAAAAATGCATCAAATAAGAGTTTGTACAAACTCTCCAATACTGGGGAAAGTGCCTTAAATATTTTCGGTCTGTCTTATTGGATTGTATTAGGCTACATTAAAGTATAAAATTATTTATTAGGCATTATTATCAGGTTATAATATCCTTCAGTTGTTACCATTACAAACACACATGGCTAAATATGATAATTTTCAAAATTAAATAGAAAATTTGTAACCTTTTCTTTCATCACTGTATTTTGTGTAGCAAGCATGATTTCTTTCATCTTACTACTGACAAAGGTTGCTACATGAACAAGTCTACTTACTGCACTGGTAGTTTGTCTAACAATGCAAAGACTGTTTTAACCTCTTCAACAGTATGTTTTAGTTTACATTGCCTTCAGTATAGCAGGCTGTTATCTTTCCTTTTTGGGGGGCAATGAAATAAACATACAAAAGTGTACATATAAATATTACAAAACTTAATCAGTTAAATGTAACAAGCCTATTATAATTATCTAATAGTCCTATTACAATTCATTTAACATTGGAAAACCATATAGTCATGTCAATTTGTATACAAATAAAAATTTAAATAGACTAGGTGTAGAAAAGGTCACTCTTGCTCTAATATCTCTTGAACTTCATGTTCAAATTCAACTATATTTTTTTTTGTACATCAAGTGCTTTTTTTTGGCAGAATGTGCCAGAACAGTTTACCAGTATCTTTTAATGAATGAGTAGCAAAAATAAGTAAGACATTACACAAAATTGCTTATACTGATAAGATCAATTTATTGTGCATATAGTACTCGTATCATCAAACGTGTTACCACCAACTAGGGGTGAGACACAGTATTATATTGGGATGGTCATGGGGTGGGATGGAGTAACAAGTGGAAAAGGTTGTAAAAAATATAGAAGAGTTCTGGAATCTTATTTCCCAGAAAAAAATCACTGTTTACACCTACCTTTCGACTGTAACAATACTGTGCATTTGTGACTACAACAATTAAAGAAATTTTATTTGTAATAATATATTAATATGAATTATGATAATAAAGAATTTCACTGTATTTAAATTTTACTAACTATAGTTATTCGCAAATTGGAATTGAATATTTTTCTTAGGCCTAACCTGGTTTCATTTACGAACATTATCTTTGATACAACTTTTCCAAGCCTTTCTTGAAATTAAATATGCGAAAGTTGACAAAAGTATATGTAAATAAATATTAACACAATGTCAATAATGCGCTTATTTAAATTAATCTTAACATTCCCATTTGTAGTACTTACTTCTTTACCACTATTAGGACCACTAAGTTACAACTTACATAGAATTTTACGTTTTACAGTTTAAGTTTAACCTGTTTAAGCCTACAAATATCATGAATATAAAAATATATGCACCTATACTTGCGGAATAAATACCAATATCTCTAATTTAATCACTTTAAAAGAGAAATTATATTTGTTATTTTTCATTTAGAAACATTCACACATCTTTTATGTATCACAAAATATAAGAAACGCTATAAACTCACCATAAATAGGCCTTAGCCTTCTTTCATTAACACTGCTATCTGTCGAGCGCGCCGCCATATTGTTATCAGTGCTCATTTCTTGGTTTTCTTCTTGTGACATATCGAAGGTTTTGAGAAATTACGAGATTCAGCTAAAATATTTCTGCGTTTACTTTCTTTTTCTCGCAAGTGAATTAGTGAGAGGAAAATAATCGGACATGTATTTATAAGCTAATTTGTTAACAGCAAATATATGTTGATATTTAACGGAAGATGGCCGGATATCCTGTTGCGTATTTTGAATTATCTTGGTCTTTCTTTTAGACTTAATTTTAGGAAATGTTTTCACTTTCAAGTAGGAGTTCGGAGCAGTGATGCTAAAAGAGTATCGTGGCTATACATATATATAGTGTTGTTGAGACATATTTTAGAAACTTTTAAATTACCTATAAATACGTACATGTATAATAATTTCATGGACAGAACTACGACTGGGCTTCCAGGAATTCTATGGATATAGCCCAAATCTTAATAAATCTATCATTCTAATCATGTTGTTAAGATATTCGAGGAAATAACAATGTAATACAAAATTATAAATTCGAAACTTAGTTCAAGCTCAAATATTGAATTTAAAAAATTACGAATATTTCAGCATAAATATTCTAACTATAAACTTTGTACATTTTAGAAGATTTTAAAAAAGTCACAACTTTTCATCGCTTACAGAATAAAAAAAAATATTTTGAAAGGTTACTATATTATGTGTGTATAAATGTTTCATCTTAAAACGGTTATGAAAATAGTTTTTATGCACAAAACAACACAATGGGCTATCTGTGCTCTGCCCATCACGGGTATCGAAACCCGGTTTCTAACGTTGTAAGTCCGCAGAAATAGCTCTGTGCTACTGGGGGTAAATCGTCAAAGAGAAATATGAATATAAAAATGAAAATACGTATTCTTTCTTTTGAAAATAATAGATTTTGTTACTGGAACATTATCTGTAAATGTAATAATATAAATATTTCATAGTGACAAGAAAAAATGTAGAACATGTTTATGTTATTGAGGAATTCAGGGAAGGTAAAAATTACAAGCCTTTTACTAAATGTAAATTGTTATTTTTAAAAACCGTCTTTTCGTTTCGAACTTTTTACGCAGAACACAACATGCTAGAAAATGCATATAAATATTCTCGCAAAATTTTCTGTCTCAAAAATAGTGTTACGATATATTTATTTAGATTTACTGGGTATTTTATATAAACATTATGATTTACATCTCCTTTTAATGTAAATCAGTGAAGATAAAAAATGAATACGTAATTTGTAATTAGACATAGATAATTATGTAGGCTACAACGATTGATATAGTCACTAAACTCTTACTGTAGTAATGACGTAAACTGTCTTATTTCAAGAAAATCTATACTTGTATACTATTTTATCAAATTATATGAAGAGGTACATTTTCAATTTGACGTCAGAGGGCATCATCTAATAAAGCATAAACAAAACTGACAAATGCTAAACCCACAAGCATTGCACAAATTAGGAGTGTTCTGATTTTAGCGCCACTCTCAGAAACACAGTTTGTAATAAATCGAATTCTTGAAAGATGGCAACCAATAAAATGTTTTTCAACATTCCTAGTGGCAATCACGAAATTTTTGAAAATAGTACAATCTAAAAGGTATAAGGACTTTGATATTACGCACTTAAGTGTCCATAAGTTAACACTTGCTTTAACACACAACCGATATATACATCATTCAATATGCAGAACTCAATATATTACTGAATGCGATAGCACTATTTGATTAGTTATCCAAGTTTTGAGTTTGAAATAGTTTTTATTCAGAGCTTAAGAATTCGGCGAAGTGATTTCACAAAGTGAGGACATGTATTTGCACAAAATAATTTATATCAAAGATATAGTATATTTTTATTCAGAATAATTATTCGTGTCATGATAAATGATAAACAGAAGTGATTACACAATAATATAGCATCAAAGTTTTAAAATGTCTCCATCAGATGCCAGCACAATCACTTAATTGGTGAGAACAGCCGTTCATAATCTGTATCACACGGTTCACTACTATCAAGTATATTTAAGGTAAATTAAATTATCTGAACATATTTTTTATGATACTCATGTTTTGTCGAAGAAAGAGACAGGAAATGAGTTCAGTTTTTTGATATATTCAGAGTTGACTGATTTTACTAATAACATGTACTGAAACATAATATACATAGTTCTTGTTTCTTAAAGTTGATTTTAAATCAGATTCTATCAATTAGATGCGTTTCAAAACTTTAAATTTTAGTTTGATCATTTCAAAACATATTCGGAGATTCGATAATGGTGTTCTAGATTTTCCATAGAAATTATGATTTACTCAATAATGTCAAAATGTAATTGTATTTATTTGTTACCTCGAAATATGGAAACAAGACGTGTTAGTTTTCACTTCTCCAGGAATAGTATAATAGGAGATAATATAAGAAACAACATCTCGCTTTTCGTCGTCTAAACATCTAGTTTTATTAATGAATGCTTTGGTCCAAGAGGTACCCGTCGTTTCGGACATGATCAAAGAGCGGGTAATACAGAACTTAGGCCGCAATTGCCAACACACTGTTCCTCTTCAAATAAATCTTAGTGTTGAAATCTTTGTACGTGAACTTGTTTACAAGGACACAAAATTTAAAATAACAATAATTCACCTTGACCCAGATACTCTCTGATACCATTTCCATTGTTTAAACACCCTACTCTGTGAGGTGAAGTTTCATGGAGTTAAAAAACGATTATTAAAAACACCTAACGAAGTTCTTTACTCTGTTGATTTATTTGAATAAAACTTCACATTTAGAATGGTTTTTGGTTGATTCTTTTCTCTTTTTACAACATTCCAAAATGCATTTGTTTATTGGTATCGTTGTGTGTTATTTCCGTTTGGAAAGTTAACTTTTTTGTGTGTGATATGTTAGCATTTTCCTAGATCCCTGCCGTGGGCATAGCGCAGATAGCCCATTTTGTGGCATTGCGCTTGAAACAAACATTTCAGATAATATAAAAATAAAATAACTAATACGCCGTCGTGCTTTGTTTGTTGTTAAGCACAAAGCTATACAATGGACTATCTTTACAGTGACCATCTCGAGTATTAAAACCCGGATTTTATCAGTGAGAGCCCTCAGACTTACCGCTGAGTCATTGATGCCCATTTTTAGTTAGGTATTTATTTTCTAAAGTTTAATTACTCGAATTGTTTATGTGACAATGTAAAAACTCGACATTTAAAATATCAATATCTCCGTAACTTATAAAACCGAGTAAGAAAATATCGTTGCCACTAAGATAACACGTAAACTGAATCACAGAATAAGAAACCTTCCTTCACCAAGGGTATCGAAACCCAGTTTCTAGCAGTATAAGTCGGTAAACATACCGCTGTGCCACTTGGAGGCATTAGGAGACAAGAGGTGCCATAACCATAACATGTTCGACTAAAAATAATGAATAATACTTTATTTCAATCAGGTAATTTTACTTAATTGGAATAAAACAAGGTTGCTCACGAAGAGTCCCCTGGTGGGCCAGCGGCAAGTTTATGGACTTACAACGCTAAAATCCGGGGTTAGATTCCCACACGATGGACACATCTGGCTTTGCTATAAAACAATTAAACAAAAGTCCATAAATAAAAATTCTGAGAAAATTTAATGAGATTTATACAATATTTTGTTCATAAAAATATAATTTATTATTTAATCTCCATTTATGTCTATTTTATTGCTATGGCTAAAACAGACGTTCATTCATAGCGACGGAGTGTAAGTTCTACAAATGTGATTCCAATTTGATGATGAAGAGCCTAAGATTTATAAATAGTATAGTCTGGAGACGGATTGAATTGGTGATGAAAGAAACAAGATGATGTACCTCATGATGAAAAGCTTGTTGAAACGTTGTACATTTGTTAATTGTAATAAAGTTTCTTTCATTATCCATTCAAGCCGTCTCCAAACTTTATTCTACAAATGTGTTGGTCAAATAACAAATTGAGTTCAAACTTGAATTTAAATATACATATATCACTTAATTCCACTAACTAACTAATTTTCGGTGTTTCTGAATTGACAACTCATATACTTAAGTGTGAACTTTCCTGTTTTACGTTGTTTTATATATATAGTTGCTTATTTTTTGTTAGGTAGCATATTTACGACCATGGGTAGTAGGAGTGCAACAAGCCACTTCTTAGTTGGGACCTCCCTCTGTCAAGGAATACCTTTCTTGAGCTTAAAAAGATCCCAGTCTGACCTTTGGCCCCATATTTTGCTGTTTGAGGCTTCACGTGGTGAAAGAGTTTATAGAAAATGCAGGTATGGATTATTTGATCCCAAGTGTGAGAACCAAACATAAATATACATTCTGAGTTATCCAACAAAATGCGAGACTCGAAGGAAATGCAATATTACGTACGTAATATTGTTTTCTCGAATACTTTTAACTAAGCACAGACAGTATGAATGCTTCTCTCAAGGAAGGCTTAGACAGTATCTTCGACGTGATTTTAAAGAGGGATTTACCATGGAGTCCGAACATTTTCTCAGAAAAAGTCCATAAAAACACAGTTCGCAGGTTGGGCCTTCTCCTTATTAGCGTGATTATTTGTCTCAGCAACATCGTGATTTAGTTATGTGAAAGATAAAAATAAGGCTGATGAAGACTTGGGGACATAGTAAAAGACATCGAATAGCTGTCTTGTTTTATTAAAATAACATTTCAAGAGAAGAATATAATAGCATTTAAACTTGAGCTTTGGGATATTATGTGAATAAACGTTATCAAATTATACCCAAGTTATTACTTAGGTACCTTCAGATAAGTCAGGGAACAGTTAGTATTTAGGTACCTTTTGATAATTGAGGTAACAGTTATTACTTAGGTACCTCTTAATAAGTGAGGTAACAGTTAAAACTTAGTTACCTTCTGATAAATCAGGTAACAGTTGGTACTTAGGTACATCGTTATAAGTCAGGTAACATTTACTACTTAGATACATCGTTATAAGTCAGGTAACAGTAAGTACTTAGGTACCTTTTGATTAGTCAGATAACAGTTAGTACTTGGTAAATTACAAACTTCCAAGTTTTAT